CCCATTATCTTTCACAACCTGTGAACGTTGTCCAAAAAATTTGAATAGCTTCTGGCCATCGCGTTCTTAAACTTGAGCGTCAAAGTATGCACAATTTATTGCTTTTTTTCAGTAGTTCGACAATGAAGATAACTTTTTCAGTGTTTGCTATTAAGTATAGCACAAAAATTGGATATTGACTATGCTCATCTGTTTTTCATAGTTCTTGTGGCCTGAATGGGTTCCTTTTCACTGCATGCAGATCCAGAAGACTTTTTCGGTTGTTTCCCATTTTGATTTTCTTTCGAGTTTTTCCCATCATTTGATAACTGCAACTATGCAGGAGACCTTGCTCTAGCAGTCGGTGGGTGGCTCCTTGACCGAAGCCACCTTTAAATCTTTTTTTTTCTTTTATTTTTGTGAAAACAGTCCCCCACACGCTATCTTAAGTACAGAGTGATAAATTTAGCAAATAGCAAACTATTAAATAGATCAATTAGCTTGACTCAATGCAATTTGGAACGATTTCTGAGACGGAATAGATCTTCGCTTACGTGTTAATAGCACAAAATATTGCGCGTTAGTTATCCCAAGATTGCAATTTTTATCCCCTACAATTTCACAAAAAATCACAGATGAAATATATTTTTGAATTTGAGCTCAGGACAACAATACCTTTTGGCCGACTTCAAAATATTTGGTCAAAAATTGCTAGTAAAAAATCGAAATTTGTCTGGCGAAAACAAAAACCACCCCGAGCAAAACTATTCCGTCACCTTTTTCAGAAGTCAAAACAATAAGCAGTTGCTGTGCAAGTAGCAAAGAATTATCAGAACACATTGATTGAAAAACAGAAAAACTAAAAATCAAATTAATAAGAAAAATGAAAAAAGCCTATTGTTTTTTTTCATTTCTTTTCGATAAATTTCCTGTTATTTTTTTTTCAATGAATCGCGATTGAAAAACAGTTACAAATGCTCATAAATAAATGGAAATTTCAGTCTCTCAGCGTGTCATTCGTACATTTTGTGCCATTCAGTTTGAAAATAGTAAAAATTCAGATTTGGCCCGATGATAAGATAATTTTTCTAAATTTGGTTGGAAACCAAATCACTGCTGAAAAGGCTTTTATATGATACCACACTTAAAACTTACAAGTATTTTTTGAGGAACTCAAAATGCGTAGGAAAAAAACACAAGCGACACCATAGCTCCTACACATTTTGTGGAATAGTCGGAACAACAAAGCTGGAATATGTGTCTCTGCCGGACAAGTTCTCTACAGGGAAAAGCCTTGTAACCGATTTGATAATACTTTTTGCTTGAGGCAAGTCTGATCCATACATAAATTCGCTCACCCATTTCCCGGGTGGTTAAGTTGTTTAGCTGGATAAATTTGTAACGATTGCGGTAACAATGTTACAATCCATTTTGATAACTATTACTATTTTATGATAGAATATCTATCTATGACTCTGGTTAAGGACTTATAATTTGTATTCAAGCATTTTCAACAAATGCATCTTTGAGGAAAAAAATGCATAATGGTTTATAAGTGAAATTATTGTTGGGCCACCTTGAGTCGACGTATGGGTAAAATGACTAATGAAGAAATCACATTTAAATGATAGTTTATGATATGAAACCAGATTTATGATAAACACAGTTTATCATTTGTAACTAAACTTGTAGGGCAAAACTGTAGTTTTCAATAGCCAGCTCAACTTGTTCGCGCTGTTTTCGTAATGACGTATTTCTGTCGTTATTTTTTTCTCTGTATTTTCGCACTAAATCGTTGCGCTCGATTAAAGCAGATCATATTTCTTAAATATTGCTGCGATTTCGATCTCATTTTCAAATGAGGTGTTTTAAACCAACGCAGTAGCTGCACTTGTTGCTAATTTGTTTCCAGCAAGTTAACATAGAATTGTTTTGTCGAATTTGTTCGCGTTTTAATTTTTCAATTAAGAAAGCAATCTGTACTTTGCATCAAGTGCTCAACTTTTGATATACACGCTTTCAAACACGCTGTACGCTTTCTAGTGTCCTGTGTTATCTTTCTTCAGGGCGTTTCGTGCCTCGTTCGGGTTTCACTACCTGACAGAAAATTTTGGACTTCTCTTTTATTGGGTCAGACATACACATTTTTGTTGACATTTTCACATTGTGTCCCTTTATTTCGACCTTGAGTCTTCATTTGTTATATTTGCGCGCCAATTCAGTCCTGCAGGTTATCGAGGCTGATTGCTGTCTTGCTTGATTGACATTTTGGCGTCAAATAGCGAAAGAATTGGTGAACTTTTGATTTATCATCAGTCGTTTTTTGATGTTTTTGATGTATTATCGTAGTTTTTTTTTGAGTTTTCAAAATCGAACAGAAAATCGAACCCATTATTTTTCACAACCTGTGAACGTTGTCCAAAAAATTTGAATAGCTTCTGGCCATCGCGTTCTTAAACTTGAGCGTCAAAGTATCCACAATTTATTGCTTTTTTTCAGTAGTTCGACAATGAAGATAACTTTTTCAGTGTTTGCTATTAAGTATAGCACAAAAATTGGATATTGACTATGCTCATCTGTTTTTCATAGTTCTTGTGGCCTGAATGGGTTCCTTTTCACTGCATGCAGATCCAGAAGACTTTTTCGGTTGTTTCCCATTTTGATTTTCTTTCGAGTTTTTCCCATCATTTGATAACTGCAACTATGCAGGAGACCTTGCTCTAGCAGTCGGTGGGTGGCTCCGTGACCGAAGCCACCTTTAAATCTTTTTTCTCTTTTATTTTTGTGAAAACAGTCCCCCACACGCTATCTTAAGTACAGAGTGATAAATTTAGCAAATAGCAAACTATTAAATAGATCAATTAGCTTGACTCAATGCAATTTGGAACGATTTCTGAGACGGAATAGATCTTCGCTTACGTGTTAATAGCACAAAATATTGCGCGTTAGTTATCCCAAGATTGCAATTTTTATCCCCTACAATTTCACAAAAAATCACAGATGAAATATATTTTTGAATTTGAGCTCAGGACAACAATACCTTTTGGCCGACTTCAAAATATTTTGTCAAAAATTGCGAGTAAAAAAACGAAATTTGTCTGGCGAAAACAAAAACCACCCCGAGCAAAACTATTCCGTCACCTTTTTCAGAAGTCAAAACAATAAGCAGTTGCTGTGCAAGTAGCAAAGAATTATCAGAACACATTGATTGAAAAACAGAAAAACTAAAAATCAAACTAATAAGAAAAATGAAAAAAGCCTATTGTTTTTTTTTCATTTCTTTTCGATAAATTTCCTGTTATTTTTTTTTCAATGAATCGCGATTGAAAAACAGTTAAAAATGCTCATAAATAAATGGAAATTTCAGTCTCTCAGCGTGTCATTCGTACATTTTGTGCCATTCAGTTTGAAAACAGTAAAAATTCAGATTTGGCCCGATGATAAGATAATTTTTCTAAATTTGGTTGGAAACCAAATCACTGCTGAAAAGGCTTTTATATGATACCACACTTAAAACTTACAAGTATTTTTTGAGGAACTCAAAATGCGTAGGAAAAAAACACAAGCGACACCATAGCTCCTACACATTTTGTGGAATAGTCGGAACAACAAAGCTGGAATATGTGTCTCTGCCGGACAAGTTCTCTACAGGGAAAAGCCTTGTAACCGATTTGATAATACTTTTTGCTTGAGGCAAGTCTGATCCATACATAAATTCGCTCACCCATTTCTCTGAATTGACATCAGCATCACTCCACTCGGGCCAAATTGTAAACTGTTGTCTTGCAGTCACTTTTGACTCTACTCCTTTCACACTACTGGCTGTACCCCTAAACATGCACAATGTAATTAACAACCCCATTGTGTAACCATAAATTAAGCCTTCTAGAGCACATGAAAACTATTAAAATATCTTTAAATCTACGACCAAACAGACCGCCAATGCCAAGGAAGAGGTATTCAAGCAGATTCAAAACAAAAAGTTTGAGTTGCGATGCATGGGGAGGCAGTTAAATTCGATCAATGTTTAATCAAATAAGTATTTGAATTGCAAAGTAAACTTACTCTTTTGAAGCAGCAGAAGCTCGGCCAGAATCCTTTTTCTTTTGTCCTTTGCTAGCCATATCTATTCAAATGGTAACCATAACACAGATTTGGCAACAAGTTTTCTGTAACAGACAATTTCACTCAGATTACGTACATAAAGAAACCTCTAAACATAACAGCTTATAATTCATCAATTGTACAAAAATTTGGGACCTGAAGAGAAAATTAAATTACAGATATAAAGTGGCTATTTGAACAATTTGGGACACAACCAATTCTATATATCCTTTTAGCAGAAAGCGAGGAGTTCTTAGTTTAAAATTTTATCACAAATTAAAACATTAAAAAATAAAATTTGGTTAGCAATGGTAGCTGGTTGATGTGCAAGTCGCCAAGACTGTTCTTAAAGTGTAATTTTGACAAATCTTTTTGAATTCTTTCCACAAAATTATATTTTTTTGATTGAAAAAGGATTAAAATTAGGCATCAAACACAAGCATTGAATAACAAGCATAACCTGAAGGATGTTCCGACCAAAATCATAAAAACTACAAAACAAGTTCTTCATTTTACTAAAGTCTTCAAATTCGTGTGTTTCTTGTTTTTGGTCTGATTATTGAAATATACACACGTTTAGAAAGTTCGTAAATTAGGCATAATTGACAACTGCTGTCCTCAAAAAAAGAATAAAACAAACTAAAATATTTTAAAAAAAAAATTCAAAATTATTTCAAATTTTTGTTTGCATAATTTTCAATTTTCATAGAAAAATTTTTTAATCCAAGGAAATGCTAGCTGAAGCGTTCAAAATCAAGTTTTTTTAGCCTAAATATCCAATTTAACGAACGGTATCATTGCTCTACTCGTTCTTTTTAATCGCTCAAATTTAGTCTAAAACTCACAAATTTCAAACCGGTTTTTCTCAGCACTGGGACAATTTTTTGAAATTTTTTTATGTCGCTCAAATGGCGACTGAAGGACTTTAACAAGATATATCACTCAAATCATTTCGATGATTGTTTGCGGTACCTGGTTTTGGTTAACTGGTGTGGTAAAAAAGAAAAAACTAAAACACACGCGAATACTAAATTCCTGCCCATTTACAATGGTCGGAATGAAAAACTTAAAAAGAGCGATGAAAAGAGCCACTAAAATTATTCTATTTATTCTTAAATTTGAACCAAAAGGTCAGATGTTATCATTGTAACTAAATTTACTACACTAGTCCTTCATCGTTTCTCCCAGTTTAAAAACCCTTGGAATTTCATAAATTAGGGAAGTGTAAAGAAAAGAAAGTAAAGAGAATCAGATGGTTGGAAAGCATGTCATCCAGTTGTTAAAACTAACACCTGCACAGAATAAACCGGAGTTAAAATAAACTCAAATAGAATTTTTTTCTTATCTTTTTTTTTCTTTTTAAAATAATCAGGTCGAAAGTATCATAGTAACCGAGGCTACAGTCAGGAGTTCCTTCATCACCTTATCCAGTCAAAATCATCAATTTTTCTTGATAAGGAAATGATAATTATTTAAAAGAGATGATTAGTGTTGATGTGTTTAAAATTAAACTCGACACGGGTTACGTTTCTTCAATAAAAACGCGCAACTCGACACGAGAAAACATATATTAAACATTATTGTGTTACAAATAAAAAATTTCGTCGAAAGTTCTTATCTCATTTTTTGTGCCGAGTACGCAAGCGGCTTTCGCAAGCCATATTGCCAGGGAGATTCATCGGTACACGTGCACAAGTTCTTACAAAGCTTATTCCAAAAAATCTCAGTGCTAGGGCCAGCGGCACCCTGAACTTCAAAACCTATTGGTTGAAAAATATATCCATCATTAATTAAATCTCTGTATTTGTCAGATTTTCGATCTCCCACCTCGGTCGCAGCCATTCCGGGGTTACAAACCGAGCCGTTCCGGGGTTACAAAGCTTTCGAGATTACGGATCTATCAGATAATTATACTAGGCTGCGTTTACCTTACCTTAGCTCTGCAAGAAAAAATCTTCGAAGCTTGTTTTTTATTAAGTTTGCCGACTACACAGGCAAAATACGCAACCTGTACTGCGAGGAGATTTTATGTTTCAACAAACTAGCTGCCCTAGGGCTGAAAACTAAAAGCGACATACAAAACTACCTGCCATCAGCAGCGGAGTCGGTTGAAAATCCTCTGCAAACTGTTACAACCAGCAGAAATGCAGACAAAAAGAAAAAAACTATCTGAAAAACTCTATGTAAAAACTATCGGCTCTTTGTAAAAACTTCATATTTTTCGTGGTTCACCAGAATCCGTGATTTTCTACAAGAATTAGACTTCAAAAACTCTGATTTGATGAATTCAAACTATTGAACCAACCAAACGCAAAAAATAAAAACAAAATTTCAAACTTATCAAAGGACATGAATCAATTTAAAAGGGTCTGAAAGAGTCAGACAGAAAAACATTTTGGCCCAAAAAGGAATTTGATTTTTCAACTTAGGAAAAATCCTTCAAAAAGCAGTTTGCAAATTAAAAGGTTCTGCAGGAAGGTTCTATAGGAGAATTTTGGGTGCGTTTTACCGGCACATAATGAGCGCAACACAAGCAGGTTGATTAAAGTTTGCTAATTAACAGTTCATCAAATGATTTATTCATCCGTTTTAACACCTTTCTAAACAGGAAATCGAAAATATACAAACCTGAAAAGGTGTATATAATTTGGATTCGATACAGCTTACTCTCGGACACCCTAAATTTTTACTGTGCGTCTTACCGGCACCAAAAAAGCACAACCCAAGCAAGTGTTGAACTTGATTTGATTAAAATCAAATGATTCAATCAGCGCGCTCAACAGGTTGCTAGCCTAGAAAAGAGTCTCCAATCTTTCGACTTGTTTCCGCTTGCTCAACACACGCGTGGAGGCAAAAAACTAAGGTTACAATAAAATTGACAGAAGTCTAGCATTTTTAGAGAAAACTTTTGGCAAATAATAAAAGAGATTTCAAATTTTCAAAGCAATCATTGTGCTATTGCTAATTATTTTGTATGAGAGAAGAGAAAGAGTAAATTAAACATCCAATAAATGGACAAATGTGTAATAAAATAATAACCGCGTGTATATTGTATAATTATTTTGTATGCATGAAAAACTAATTTTCAATTAGAATAATTTTTAAAAGTTGACATGGTGATTTGCAACTGTACAAATAACGAAAAATTGATTTCAGACAAATTGACTTTCAGAAAAAGTCTGTGACACTGTTTATGATCTTTGATCATTTTGTACAGATCATTTAGAATTTCTAAAACCTGATGATGCACAAAATGTGCGAATACGTTTGTTTGAATTTAAAATTTTAACGCAAAATGATTTTCTTCAATAGTCAATAAAAAGAAAAAATTCAAGGACATAATTCATAGCCCCATATTCCAACGTGAGACCTGTATCGTAGCTGAACCGGGTCAGTATGTTTACACATGAAGAGCCATTTTAGAAGTTAAAATTCATAACGAAGAACAAGAGAAAAAGCTGACGGACTGGTCTTACAAATCGAGAATGGTCGGCTTCAAAATGTGGAAAGGTGTAGAAATCTCGTTTCACATACCGTCATTACATGAATGTCAAAAATGCAAGATGCCTGGACGCCAAGAAAAAGGTAATCACGATGATTTGTGCAACACAGGAAACCAAATAACCAATAATCCAAATAATCAGTACTCACAAAAACCAAGCTCCAATAACGCCAGCGACGAGAAAAACGATGACGAAACAACCACCGATAAGTTTTGTAATGGTACCAAAAATGATGAAGATAAGGATGTCGAAACACCACCATCTAGAATTTTGATCAATGAATCTAAAACAAATAGTGTAGCAACTCCAAGCGAAGAAAAACAAAAGGATGAGGTTCTCAACAATCAGGTCGTAGAGTTTCATTCTTACTCTGCAAAAGAATAAAAGACAATTTAAATATCGAAAATAACAAACGAAAATATTCCTCTGACGGAAGAAAGCTTACAAAAAGAGAGCGTGAAACTTCACCAACCTCGTGGTCGGTTTTCACACGGAAGAAAGGATCTAAAATAAAATCTAAAAATAACGGAGAAGGCTTGGTTGGAGGGAAGTGTTAGCAAAATTTCTATGTGCGAAAAACCAGATATTTTTTCCGTTAATATTTTTTGGCATAGGAAATCCAGCTAAATTACCGTCACTTATCAAAAAATGCCAAGTTTTAAAAAAATCGCCCAGTTTCATTTTGTGCATTCAGGTAGCAAAAATATCAAAATTACAAATATACATGTGAGTGTACTGGATAGATATAATGTTTGATTCGATTTCATACCGGACTCAAATAATTCTGGTGATTTCTTAACGTTATGGTCATCAAATTTGAGTCCTACAAAAAGAATTGCTCCAAGTACAGGTTTTCAATTGTTTAATTTGGTCAAACTTGATTGGTTTGTTATTAACGTTTATGCAAACCCAAATTCAATCCAAGCAACTTTGAATTCCCTGAAAATAAGCATCAGATTTTTGCCTAATAATTCGAAAATTATCATGATGGGTAATTTTATTGCGCTGAGTTATGACAATTTTAACAGTTCTTCAATACATAAGTTGAATGATGCGCGTAGCAAACGATTTACCCAACTCAAAGAACAAATTCTTGCTTGTTTTGGTTTTGTTGATTTTGCACTCAAAAATGATTTTTGTGATTATACACATTATGACAAACAACATGAAACTTTTGCGCGCATAGATTGTGTTTTTTGAAGTTCGAAACAGAGTATGACTTTATGCAAAGCACTCAAATATCAATATCTGATCATTTTCTTTTACACGTTTTTGTTAAGCCATCTATCTTGTATCAGCGCGACCCTAGTTACTGGAAACTAAATGGAGAAATTTTAAAAAACAACGCCAGCTTAACTCGTGAAGGTCTAAAAAACTTTTTTGAAAATGAATCATCAAGTAGTTACGAAAACGTTAAACACAATTTTCGTGACCATCTGAGGTTTATTCAAGAAAACAAAAAGCGTGTAGATCAAAAAGAACTTAATACATTGAAGTATCACAAAAATGTTCTCAGAAATTGCATTCACAGCGGAAAAGGTCCGAACCCTAGTTTGATTGAAAA